CCCCCCCCGGATCTCAGGCAAGTTCCTTCATCTCAGAGAGCTGCAGTTTCATCTCCCATCACATAGGGACAGTGGGTGTGGAAAGGTGACGTGGACACAGCTCCGGGCAGTGAGAGGTGTGCAGTGGGCACTGAGTCAAGGATATACCCTGACGTGGCATCTCAGGAGGATGCTTTCCGAAGTAGGTAGATGTGGGACAGTGTTCACAATCATGCTTTCACAGTCCCTTGTAAGATGTTCGGGCAATTCACGAAAATCGCTCGCTGTATGCGGCGCGGGCAGCCTTCGATCTCTCCACTGGCGGGAATGCCGAGATTACCCGGCCTGCTTCACAGCTCTCGGTAGCACTCTAGTCTCTTCCCAGAGTTCAGGGTCACTCAGGCTACCAAAATAAGCCACTAACGCAGTCCCTGAAGGCTGCGAACCAGGCCAGTGGGCACTGAGTTTAAAAACCCGACCAACTCTCGTAACTCCCGTCATTCCAAGGGCAGCGATGGGTTGCTGGGCAGGAGACCTGAGCGCCCAGCTGCAGGCCTGCGTGCTCATGGTGACACTCACAGCAGCTGTGACATGGCACCGGCGGGGAGACGGCTCTTTATTCCTAAGACCCTGCATCCCACGCAGTAGGTGTGGTGATGGTTCGTGGGCTGGGCCAGCCCGATGGTTCTCGGTTCTCCCAGGAAGACTTGACAACAATGTGAGCAGTTTCACTCGAGCTCCCGGGCATGAGGGTCGGGTCCTCCCAGCAGCCGCGGGGTGTTCCCCACAGGCTTAGGTATGGGGGCGGGGGGAGGGGCAGCAGAACCCTGGCCACGGGGCGTAAACCTGACGAATGTGCACAGTGACCCCTCTTTGTCCCTCCACCCCTCACCCATGCCTCACCCCTCCCACTACCAACGTGCTGGAGCTGGCCTCTGTCCTTTCCTGTTCCTTTTTCTGCTGCAACTGGTGGCTTTTATATATTTGCGATAAAATATTCCATTTCTAAAGTCCAAGTATGGGTTGTCATATCTGCTGGCTTTGAAACGGAAGCCTGCACCATATCCTCTCTAGCATTTTCTCCATTTAATGCACAGGGCCACGGGGAGTCTTCTCTGTAGCTTGTGTTTGTACAACTTTGTAAACACTATTTTTAAGTTCTTGAAAAATAATAGCCTTTCCATTTCTAATATGAAAAATGAAACCAATATATTTCTACGAATAGAAAACACATTCAGAGTTCTTGCTCTGGGCTTCATGCAGGTATCACACATGCTTGAAAATGTAATTTGAATAATCTTCCTGTGCAGAATGCGCCAACAGCTCTCAGATACCTCCCCAGCCTTTGAAGCAGCACCGAGCTGGTGGGCAACGCAGACACCCGTCTGCAAACAATATGAGCAAATCGAGGCACGGCACGGATGTTTACGGAATTTATGGATTTGTGTCCCAGAATCCATATGTTTTAAAAAAGGAATGAAATGCAAGTTCTAGTTTTCAAATACTTTTAAAAATCGCATGAAGTTTCCGCTAAGCTGCGCCAAACTGGTGTGTGCTATAGTTCCTGGTGGATCTGTGGGAGTCCCGGGAGATGAGTCTCTAGGCAGAGACCCTGCAAAGCTCATCTATTCTCAGCGCCCCAACACGCCAGCCCTTCTGCATTGTCTTATTTAATCCGCACAGAACACCACAAGGTAGAAATGATCTCCACAAGGAAACCGAAGGGTGCGCTGAGTCACATGCCGGAGGTCAACAGGCTGGTGAGAAACAGTGAGGACAGAAGTCGCGTCTACACCCGTCAGGCCCAAGCACCCTCGGACCCTTCTCTGAACACAGGAAACCTGGATTGTCTGTAGGGAACTCAGTGGAAGGGGCTAAGAGGCTCCTGCACCCCAGACCTGGTAAGGTCCGTGCAAACTTACATTCTGCAGAAAGCAAATTTCCAGGGACAGAGACACAGAGACCAGCATCTGAAAGGATTCCAGAAATAATGCCTATTTTCAGGATTCATACTCTACAAGAGGAATCCCCTCTGCAAGGTAATCTCAGAAAAATCAAGGCCATTGATCTTGATGCACAGGGAACCGAGGGCTAAGCACAAAATATGGCCATGAGCAGCCTTCCCGGGGATGCCACCCCAGGGCCCTTCCGAGCCGTCTGCAACCCGAGATGCCCATCCAGCACCGCCGCCTGCCCGCGGGGCTCTGACTCTTAAGAACACATCCAAATTCACGTGAACGACAAGTTGAAGGAAAGTTTCCCTGGCAGCAGAAAAATAACTATGCATGAAAAAAATAATGAAAATATTAAGATTAAAATAGAGGAAAGTAAGCCTGCAGGCATTTGAAAG